CTTTCCAGCCACTCTTCTCCAAGCCTCTAGTGTTGCATGTGACCCAAGCACAGGCCCCAGCACTGAGCCTTAGTGGACCTTCTAAACTGGCCTTGGCCCATCGATCCAGCATGTCTACATCCCTCTGTAGAGCCTTCCTACGCTCAGACAGATCAACATTCCCACCCAGCTTAGTGTTGTCTGTAAGCTTGCTGAGGGTGTGTTTGATCCCCTCATCCAGATCATTGATTAAAGATATTAAACAGAACTGGCCCCAGTTCTGGAACACCACCTGTGACCAGCCACTGACTGGATTTAACTCCATTCACCACCACTTGTGGGGGTCCACCACCCAGCCAGATTTTTAGCCATCAAAGATCATGCCCGTCCAAGCCATATGCAGACAGTTTCTCCAGGAGGATGCTGTGGGAGAATGAAATGGTGTCTCTCAAGGGCTTTACTGAGGTTCAGGTAAACTTTGGTATTTTTAGATGGGTGCTGTCAAGAACTATGCTTTATACCAGCACTTTTTATGCACTTAATACATATTTGAACAAATTTCTTTCCAGGCTTCTAGTTTTGGCCCTATTCACTGTTGGACTCCCATTTCCAGCAGAGGACCACAGTGTCTGGTCAATACCTGGTATTCACAAATGTTGTTTAAAGAAAAAAAATCATGCATTGGAACTGAATTTTTTTAAAATTCATACTTTTGTCATTAGATTACTTGAAAGTATTTCTTTATAAAGCATCTTTTTATGTGGTCTTGCAACACTTCTAGCACTGCAAAATAATGCTTTTATTTTCATGTAAAATAGGACTTAGTAATACAACTTTCAGACTTCTGAAAGGTACAGTCTGACTATTTCATCCCAATTGCAAGAAAGAGGGTTGGTTACTTCACTGGAGGAATCGAGTTACAGGGAGACAGTTAGTGGCAGACTTTCATCTGTTAGTGTTGCTGGTGGGAAAGCCAATACAGAACTACTTCTAAAGAGAACTGTAAATCTTTGGAGTTTGATGTTGGAAACAGCATGCATGGATCCTTATATCAGAACCCCCCCATGCTCTTACAGTAAGACTTAGGTGCCAGGCACCTTCAGCGTATGGTGAGGTTACATGGATCATACGATGTTGGTGCCTGTTCTCTTGCCTGCTGGCTGCACACACGGTTACTTCCATGACTTGTGCTTAACTAACTGTTTAATTCGGTGTGTGAATGTAACACAGTTTTAGCTGAGTACTCATGTTGCCCTCCTTACGGGAGTTCAGCTGGCTTTCCAAGAGTGTACGTGGCTTCTCTCTTTAACTTAACAGTTCTGCTTCGTTTGCTCTGTGTAGTTTGTGTACACAGCAGTCTCTTTTTTGCTTCTGTGGGTTTTCTGTACGCTTGGTTAACTTTGTGTAAGTGGCAGGGATTTTTACCATTAATGTTACTTTCCATTCTGAGCTTTTATAAAAATTTTATCTCAGAACAGTCATAAGTTTGTTCAAATATGGTGGCTAAAGTGAGCTTGTTTTCATGAGTTCAGCTAACTTGGCTGTCAATAAAGTATAAGGACTTACTTTCTGAAGAAGAGTTGGAAATCACTTGTTATGTGTGTTTTCATCTCATATGGGTAAGGTGAAGGGATTGTGTTAATGAGATAGTATTCTGTTCAGAAGTTACAGTTGTACAGAGCAGTGCCCTCACCCTAAAGCTACAGCCCCTACCAGCTCCTGGTAGCTGTGCATACACCACTGACGCTTTAAGCCAGCCTGTGCTGGAGCAGGTTTGCTCTAGCTCATCTTTGGTTTAAGTGACTGACTGTTGGTGGAGGGAACCCTTGAAAAGAAGAGATTAATAAAGGGGGCTTTGCTCTGAACAACTTCAAACAGAAGTTGTGTTGGGTTTGTTGTTTCTACACCACCTTCCTCACTCCCCAGAAAAAAAGTCTTATACCTACATCACAATGTTATTTCACTGTTAGAATCATCATCAAAACCTATGGGGAAATCAATTTTATTTAAGATAAATATCCACATATGCAATCTGTTTCTTGAAGAGGGGACAAGTCTGCAGTCATTCTGTACACCTGTAAGCCTGAGGTCAGTGCTAGTAAATATTCCATACAGCTGCATGGCAAAACTCCTGAAATTAATTTTTGCCCTTGTAGCCTTAATGTACTGTTACTTCCCAGAATAAGGGAAGCAACATTTCTTACTGTGCCTGAGCTGGGAATTCACCTCATCCTGTTGCTCAATCTGAGATTTACTTAGATTGTGAAATGCCTACATTGCAGTATGTTTGCAGAATGTAGCTTGCATTTATAGGTATTTAGAATTAAAGGGTAATCAGTTGGAGGTTGCTTTTTATTTTAGCTATATCAGAATGTACACTATATGTTCACGCAGTGTGCACATGCAACCCATTTCAGTGCTAGGCCAAAAAGGAATGTTCCATTCAAACTCTTCCGCATGCTCAGAGGCAGCTTGCCTATTCCTGTTGCAAAAGCAAAAGTTTTTGGCTGCAGCTTGTTTGTGTGGGCCAAGGGCTATGACCTGGAATGCAGACCAGGAGGATACAGGAAAACAGTGCTCAGGCTGTTATGTGCTGGGGCACAAAGTGTGCTTTATCCAGTTATGATAGGGAGGTTCAGCACTGTCACTGCTGCTGCCTTCCTTGCTGGAGACCAGCCAAGGGGATGCACCTCAAAATCTTCTAAAGATCCCCTTCAGTGCCTACCTTCTTGCAATTAGCCTCATGTTTGTGCTCTTTGCACAAAATTTGGGTTTGGAGAAAATGCAAAACACATCAGACCATATCATAAGACTCAGAAAATATCCTTTATGGTCTTAAATGTGTGAGCTCTTCTAGGGAAATTTTCCCAAAGTCAGTTTTGAAGGCAATGCTTTCTTCCAGGTCCCTGGGCAAAATGGCCTATGCGTTAATGAGTCTCTACTCCAATTTACAGGAATAATTTTCCAGTGGTGTTTTTTTGTGGGTGTTTTTTTTTGGGGGGGGGGGGGGGGGGGTGTGGGGTTTTTTTTTTTGTTTGTTTGGTTTTGGGGGTTTTTTGTTTGTGGGGGAGCTGTTTGGGTTTTTTTTAACTCAAAGCTAAATAGGTGAGCAACAGGACTCCTTGTGGCCACAGAAAAGGCAGTTGAGCTGACATGTACTGTAAGGGCATAAGTCATCACTAGGATGATGTGAACAGCGTTGCAGCAAAGCACATTGCTCCATTCTCTGCAGCAACAGAGCTGTTACTGTTAAGTATCAGGATCATGGGTGGTGGGGGATAAAATTACGTGCCTGGCCTGCTGTGTTTTGCAAGGTTTCCTTGTGCATTGGGTTAGGGGTTAGATTCTTGTCTCAAATTGTTCCATTCGGAGACAAAGTGTAGTAGATAACATCTGTCCTGATACTCTAGGCCTGTTTGTGGAAAATGTCGCTTCTGCCCTCAAGCTAAATTCTTGTTTGAAGTCCAGGGATTTCCAAGGAAGTTACCTGCTGCCACTTCATTAGCTCACTTAGTTAGTGCCCCTCCTGTACTTCATACCTCTACCCTTCATCTCCAGCAGCTAATAGTTGAAAGTGGCAAGGTTGTGAATGGGCAACTACACATACCTCTTCTGCAGAGAATATAGAAAAGCTTTCTTAGACTTTTAAATCATGTATAAGACCACACAGTGGGGAGACATTCTGCATATTTATTCTACAGTGCAACTGCACTCAAACCTAGACCTTTCTACAGGGAAAATTGTGTGTCAGTTACTAACCAAGGAAGGGAAGCAAGCAGCAAGCATGCTCCTAAGCAGAAAGAGCACAGTGGGTGCTCAAACTGTGAACCATGTACGTAGGGGCTCAGTGCTTAAAATCTAGCAGAGTTGTGGCTGCATGGATCCGAACTTCCCCTTAGGTATAATATTTACCACTGCATCAAAAACTCGCCTTAGTTTAGCCAACTTGGGCCCCACTGAGCTCAAGTGGAGCAACAGGATGGCTGGAAGTCCCTGAAGAAGGATTTGTGAGAGCAAGCAAAGGCACAACGAACCATTCAGGCGTCCCTTACAGTGGCGTGTGTGTGTGCTATGTTAAAGCATTATTAGCAGGGACAAATGGAGTTAGGAGCAACACTTCAAGTTTTCCATTCCATCAATTTTGGGATCCATCATGTTATCCCAGCATGCATGGGAATTTCACTTAGCAGTTCCTGCAGCAATTCTGGTAACGCAGCTCACTGTTCCTTGTGCACAGACGCAGACCCGACCTTGTGCTTCATGATATAGCACAGATAATCAGGCACCTACTCCTCTGAGCTCTGTCCAGCACAAGAAGTACGAAGAAGCATCACCCTTAAAGCCAACTGTAACACTTCAAGCACACAGAACACTTGAGTCTTGAGGCAGTTGCTCAGCCTGCTTGTTATGAAGAGCAAACAGTCCCGTGGACAGCTTGCAAAACACTTTCTAGAAATTGTGTAACAGGAGCCATGAGCTTTCAGTAAAGACAAGGACAGGCTTACTGTAATTTCTCTTTTGGAAGTGGAGTGGTGGTGGGGAATTCCCAACCAATGAAAGGTATGCTTTCCAATTTCCTCTTTTGAGGGGTTTGAATTCCGTATAAATACCCTTTCTGAGAGCACACAAGACAAGCTTCATCTCCTTCGGCTTTGCCCTTCTGCAGTGGTGAGTGACATTCTTAATTTGTGAGCTCTTTGAATTTGTTAGCTGGTATTTGGGAATGTTGTAGCATGTGGGGTTTCTCCGTATTCATGACAGGAGCAGCAGGGAATGCTAAAATCCAAGTTCCTCGTGTCCATCTGCCTCTGTTGCAGAACTGAGCATGTGGTCGCACAGAGGGCATAGCTCCTTGGGGTTGGAGGGAGTGGGTTCCTGGGCTAGCCATCAGCACTGGGGCAGCTGCCTGGGCACAGCTATGGGTCTGATGGGTGCTGGGGCAGCAGTCTCTCAAACGTGCTCCAGAACTCTTCATCTGTCTGATTGTCTCATAACTCTGTGTCAGGCTTGGGCCAGGAACCATGAGGCTCTGTGTCTGCTTCATTCTGCTCTCCATCGTTCTCTGTGCAAGTGCTGACTCGCCACTAGCACGAGGTGGACGGTTTGTCTTGGATGCATTGGGAGGTAAGCTGCTGTTACCATGGGCCCTTCTCTCAGGAACCTCCTGCCCGAGCACAGGTTACTGGCAGTCAGTGGATGCAGTCCTCGGAGCTGGGAGGTCCACAGCTCCACGTTAGGGAGCCTGCTGTTTCTGCTGCTGAAGAAGGCACAGGTCCTTTCCATGGGCACACCCCTGTGCAAAGGCCAATGTGGAGAAGTGCTTCTCTGTGTTACTCCTCCTTGGGCCTTTCAGTACCTGGCCGAAATGGTACTTAACTATTTCTGGGATGTTACTTTAAAGTCAACATCATGGCTGTTTCTCTGCTTTCCTCAGGGGCAAAGGATATGTTCAGAGCATACAAGGACATGCGCGAGGCAAATTTCAAAGGTGCTGACAAGTATTTCCATGCTCGTGGGAATTACGATGCTGCCAAAAGAGGACCTGGTGGTGCCTGGGCAGCAAGAGTGCTCAGGTAATGGAGCATATTTGTCTCACTTACACAAGTTACCCAGGCACTCCAGTTAGAGTGACATCCTTTTTGACTTGTACTCAGTTTTTGACCTAGAAGGACAGTGGAGGGGAAGCAGTTAATGTCTGTGCAGCCTGTCTCTATAAGAATCGTGTCTCTCCTCCACATGAGTGTGAGCCTTTCTTACTGTCCTCCCAAGGCTCCTTACCTCTGCATTCCTGGTGATAAGGAACTCTTTCCTTGCTGCTTTGTGTCCCTGCCCGTGGCAGGGGGTTGGAACTAGGTGATGTTTAAGGTGCCTTCCAACCCAAACAATTCTGTGAAAAGAGTTACGGGTGCCACTGTGGTTCTCAGACAAGGATGGAATATGTGCGTGCGTCTCACTTCGAGAAGTACTGCGGAAAGGTAGTTTTACACGAGTGAGGAAATCACCACAAGTGAGGAAATCACCACAAGTGAGGAAATCACCACAAAGGGTGGTTACGTACTGGTTTGTTCATGTGGCCTTTTTTCTTCCTGCTAGTGATGCCCGGGAAACGTGGCAGAGTGGTGTGAGCGGCAGAGGTGCAGAAGACACCCGAGCTGACCAGGAGGCGAATCGGTGGGGTAGAAACGGCGGTGATCCCAACCCTTCCCAGCAAATACTAATGCCACCCCAGCAGAGCCCGTCTCTGCTTCCCCGTTACACCTCTTCTCTGCACCCAAATAAAGAGATGCTCTTGCAAACCATCCCCCCTAGCTGCTGCATTACCTTGTGGGGTGTGGGGATCTGGGGTCACAGCGCTGGGTTCGAGGGAACCAGAGCAAATGACACTTTGTGGGGCGGTGTCAGGGCATCACGGCGGCTACCGGCGCTGCCAAGGCGGTCTCCCTTGGCCCTTCGGCTGCT